GGAGCTGAGCGCAGCGTGGTGCGCCATTCAACTAAGCTTTGCACGAACAGCTCTTGCGGGTCACGTTGCAAACTCAACTGCATCGCACGTTCTGGTTCGAAGGAAAACATTCTGACGAAGACTGACAACAATCCAATTCTTCTAGTGCACGCACGACTTGGTTTCACGTATAGTTACCTCGTGCAGATGCGGAACCGCGCGCGTCGCGCAGGCGCATCGGCGGTCGCCGAGGCCGCAGTGACATCGTTGTCATATCCTGACGTCACCATCGGGAATGCCAGTCAAGAAATTCAATATGTAAGGGACAATCAGCAATTAAGCAGAGCCATTTTGCAAGTTAGATTTTGCTTCCTGCGCTTGCAAGAGGGGGTTCTTGATTTCGATGTCAACGACCCAGTGCCGGACGGTGGCGAAGTTTTCGACGCGGACAACAAAGGCCTGCATGTCATTTTCAACGCTGCCCGAGACGATCCGTTATACAAGCCCCCGAGCGGTAAGCTCGACGTCGTAACCGATGGTAATTTTCAATGCAACCGGAAGCGCGTGGAGACAGAGAAGAAGCACGCCAAGAATAATCTCCCCGGACGTCCGAATGACAAGAAGGTAGAGAGACTTATCAAAAAGATGCAGGCCTCTGCTAAAGCAAAGGCGAAAGCTAAGTCGAGGTGCAGAGCGGTTACTCAAATTGAGAGTATAAAGATTGCGCGCACTCAAACTGGGGGGCTCTACGCAACCGTGAACATGAAGAACCGCAAAGGAGGTGGCAACGAAATTCTTCATCTGGCGGAGATGTTGAATGGTGAGAATACAGCATGCAAAAAAGAATGTTTGGTTGATATGAAGAAAACGAAAATGATTGTTGGCAAGTACGCGTGCGATTGTGGATGCGTGGTCGCCAAGCATTTCGGAGGGATGCTGTGCGATAAATGTTACTTGGGCGGGTATCACAGCAAGAAACACAAATGCAAAACCCCCGGTCGCTATGCATAAAAAGACATTGAACTCTCTGGCGGCGGAACAGTTGTGGTCGCGTTTGGGCAAATTGACCTGGTTGTCAAAGATGAAGCGCGCGCGCTACCGATGCTTCTTGTACCATTACTGATTATGCCGCAACAAGTTCACCGCGGGGCAGTCCAGGAATGATCATCAGAAGTATCCAGGCACATGCATGTCACTGGGAAAAGTAAAGAAGCGCACGCCGAAGCAGAAGCGCACGCCGAAAAGCAAGCGATGAAGCTTCTCTGTTTACTGGAAACGAGTTGAAAAACACGTCAACCATTAGGCCTTTTCTTTAAGAGGACTGCTCGTCCTCACAAGAAAGCTGTTCGCTTTCACGTTAGGCGCTGCACGCGCAAGAAGACCGATCGTCTTCACAATGACACAGGCGCAGCCCACAACAGTTTCACTGCTCAAGTTGCGCCGCAAAAAATATCATTCATCATAATCAATATCATCATTCATACACATTACAATCGCTACACATACTATCACCATTATATCTATTAGTATTATGTTCATCTGTTCTGTGGATCAGCCTGTGTTCTTGTATTGTTGCCATGACTCTAACTGATCCGTAGAACTTGCGGCTCAAGGTTTTCGCCGTCCGAGATTCCCGTATTCCGGCGAATGGACGAACTGTGCCGTGTAATCCGCAGTGCGGGCCCCTGGCCCACATGCATCGCCAGGCGCCGAAGCTGGGATGATTTCGGCGACAAGTTATGGAAAGAGTTGAAATCAGCACATGGGTTGAAAATCAGCAAAAAAGTGCATGAAGCTAAAAAGGAAGGTGGTGGCGTGGTAAAATTGTGGAAAAAAGTTCCTTCAGTCTGCACACGCATTAAACAATATGTTTACACATGGTGGCTTTTCTTCCTCATTCAATCAACAGTCCGTTGTGTATATGCCGGTTCCAGGGCATTTCTATCAGAACGGATATGGATCAGATGGTCAAACAGCATACGGACAATCGACGATGACGACGACAAAGGTAATGTTGCATTTGGAGAAATCAATGCAAAGTCGAAAGATTAACCCCCAACCGATCATGCCGATGAGTTAGGACCAGCGCAGGGGGCGCTAACAAAAAGTTTGGCACTCAGCGGCAAGAAACGTCGTTGGGCGGATAATTCGCAAGATGACGATGGTCTCAGTGTCAGGAATGATCCAGAATTGATAATCCCGCTTCCTCAACCGAAGAAAACATAAGGAAGCGACGTGTGGCTCATAGCAGGGGACGAAGCATTGGACCAGAAGTTCCACGACAATGTACTTGATTCTTGCCGCGAAAACTCTTGGCTATATTTGGAGGTCCGGCTACCAATCGAGAGCCTTGTGCTCCACGCATATAACGCGTGAAACCCAGGTACGCCAATCGCATACCTGCGCACTTAACGACACACATGGCAGACAGCACGCATATGTACCACTAATGCACACACGGGCACACACTCACGTGACAGAGTCCAAGAACGCATATGCACAGAATTCAACGGTCATAGTCATACGTCACCCCATCAACCGCGTGGGGGAGTTCACAACGTCACAGCCGTCACGACCGCCCCCACAACCATCGCGACGACACCAGTGTCCATGATTTCAGTGCTGCACCCGCCACGCCCGCGAAGAGCCACCACGTCCACGACCAGAAACTGACAGCCACCACGACCACGAACGGCCACCACGACCACGAGGAGGAACGGTCATCACGATCAGGAACAGCCACCACGACCACGAACAGCCACCACGACCACGACCAGGAACAGCGACCACGTCCACGGACAGCCACCACGACCACGACCAGAAATACCCTACACGACCAGAAACAGCCATCACGACCACGTCCACGACCATCACGGCAGCACGCCGACGTCCACCCAGGAACGGGGTATTCCGTGACACATGGGGCTGTCCATGATGCGGTGTTGCACTCACCACGACCACGAACGGCCACCACGACCACGACCTGAAACAGCCACGGCGACTACGAGCAGTCACCATGACCGCGACGAGGAACTGCTACCGCGGCCTCGGACATCGGAATCTCTTCCAGCAGCGCCATCGCGAGCCACGCGACGCACTTCTACTCCATCGTGGGCAAAACAACATACTCTAGCAGCACAGCCGTGAGCAATACAGACCCCAGGCGAACTTCAGCGAGCGGAACGTCCCCCCCGCAATACCACCGCGGGTAGCAGGACGAATTCCAGGACGATTTCCAGCGAGACGGCGTCCGGTAGCAACATCGTGACGAGCATGACGGAGTCGAGTCGCGCCGCCGGGATCAGTACGACGGACCCCAACAGCACCTTTGTGAGCCGTGCGGGCTCCCGCAGATCCACCGTGAACGACACGAGCCCCCGCAGCACCGCCGTGCGCAGCAAGACAGAATCGAGCAGCACCAGCGGGGCAGCGCGCGGGTCTCGAGCAACACAATGTTGAACAGCACGACGGCACCCAGCAACACCATCGCGAGCCACACTCCGGCCTCCAGCAGCACCATCGTGAGCAATACGACGGATTCCAGCAACACCACCGTGAGCAGCACGGACTCCAGCTGCACCGCAGCGAGCAGCACCGCAGTCAATAGCAGCACCACCAGGGGCAGCACGAGGGCCACCAGCAGCACCAACGACGGGTCTCGGCATCACCCTTGTGAGCAGCTCGACGGAGTCCAGCAGTACCTCCGTGAGCAGCGCCGCGGACCCCAGCAGCACCATCGTGAGCAGCACGGGCTCCAGCAACCCCCCAGGAGCAGCAGGGCGGACTCCAGCATCACCACCGGGGGCAGAACGACGGGCTCCAGCAGAACCATCACTGGCACGGCCAGCCCCACCCTGTCAGCGCCGCCTGACACGCGGGCTCTGGCGGCGGCTCCGCGCTTGGCAACGGCAGGGTCTGAGGGCGATTGCATGTGTTTACCTCCCTCCCTCCTCCTCCTCCTCCTCCTCCTCCTCCTCCTCCTCCTCCTTCTCCTCCTCCTCCTGTCCCCTCCCCTCCTTTTTCCCCTCTGGATTGCGCTGTTTTTTTTTTGGTTTGGTTCTATAAGTGGCCGTTTGGGCCTCAGGGGTTACCCGCACAGCGCCCTTGCCCCTTCGCCTTGTCCTCCCCCTCCGCCTGCCCCCGTCCCCCCACGCCGCGCAAGGTGCTGCAAATGTCACGGGGCCAGTGCGGCGCAGCCGGCGTTAAAATTGTTAATGCAGTTTTGCGCCCAGTCCGGCGTTAAAATTGTTATAGTTTTTTGGGTTGAAGGGATCACGCGTATGGAGTGCGCGCGCCGCACGATGCAAAAAAGTCATACATTTCACGCGCCAGTATCGGACACCAAGAACAAACACCAATTGCAGACATCAAGAACTTACACACCATGAATTTACTTTTGTATGGGACATCAGATAAGCACAAACATCAGAAGCAGACGTCAGCAGCAGGCATCAATCATCAAAGTCAGCAACACATATCAATAGTATGCATCATTGGTGCACGTCGAGAACATGTTCGAGGGCTTCAGCCTAGAGCACACACAACAATAGCAATAGCTAAACACATACACACCAATAACGAACACCCGGCGGACACATTATGAACACCCACCACACGCATGTTTCAAGAACATACCCAAATCACATAAGTCATATATATATATATGTATACACATATATATATATACACGTATCTATACATACGTATATATATATATATATATATATATATATATATATATATTCGTAGCAAACACATTCGCAGGCATCAATTACATACACTTGCAACGGGCATGGGGCCAATCCACAAAAGCAAGCCAATAACCGATACGTATAGCGTACATCAAGCAATGGTACCCGATGGAGAGAGAAAGAGAGAGAGAGAGATAGAGAGAGAGAGAGAAATATAGACAGAGACCGGCAGCAAGAGAGACAGAGAGAGAGGGAGGAAGAGAGGGAGAGAGAGAAGGAGAGAGAGAGGGCATGGAGGAGAGAAGTGGAGGAGGAGCCCGCTGGCGCCAGGAGCCCGCCGGAGGGGGCGGCGGTGCCACCGGCGCGGGCCGCCCGAGCAAGGACTGGGACTTCACGAGCTCGGACATGTCCAGGTACTGCCTCGGGCCCGCCCAGCAGCTGCGCCGGCGGCCGGGGAAGACCTCCTCCCCCTCCTCCTCCTCCTCCTCCTCCTCCTCCTCCTCCTCCTCCTCCTCCTCCTCCTCCTCCTCCTCCTCCTCCTCCTCCTACGCCACCACGGGCGCACGATCTCGGAGGTCCGCGCGGATCCCTCGGCTCGGCGCCGCGGCCGCTGTCTTGGCGCGCGGAGCGCGCCAGTGGCGGCGCCAGGGGCGGCGCCAGGGGCGGCGCCGGCGCAGGGGCCTCCGTGCTCGTCGGGTCGCCGCCGGGAGTCCCTGGCGGGGCGTCCGGCGCCGCCAATGGCGCGCCCCGCGTGACGCGCTCAAGATGATGTGCTCGAGCAGTGGCGAAGCTCCCGGATCGCCTACAGACCCACCGAATAATGTTTTGAGAACCGTTCGTGGTTTGCACGAAACGTTCTTGAGCCATGTCTTGCTGAGGCAATTCTGTCTTCATCAAGTGGCTTTATGTTCTAGGAAAGTTGTTGTTGCTCTTAGAACGCTCTTATGCTTACAGAACATGTCGTGGTAGGCCTAGAAGTATGCAGGGACGGCCAGTCCCTGCTCCATTTGTTCTTCAGCAAAACAAGTGCCAGGGCCCAGCTCAGATCCAAGGATCCAAGGAGTGCAGCGCGGGCCTCAGATCTGTATGTATGTTATATATATGTATATATATATATATACACATACATATTTGTGTGTGCGCGCCGATGCCGTCTTCTGCCCAGGCAGGCGGTGCGGATCTCCAAGAACCACGACGAGGCCGCCGCGCAGGTCCATCGCAAGCTGCGCAGCATGCAGGAGAATGTCGCGCCGTTCGTGCAGGAGCTCCGGGAGCGCGGCTGGGCGTCGGACGCGACCCCGCCCGGCCGCCACCCCATGACGCCCTGCTTCGCGTCCAAGGTCGACCAGGGGTAGAATTTTGTACGCGCAGCGGCAAGTCCAGCTGATGGGGGTTCCTTCTTCGGGAACCCCCTGATGCAGATAGCGTGTAGGTGTGAGTGTGTGTGTGTGTTGCTTCGCGCCTCTTGCCTTCCGCTTCGTGCCTGTACTCGCCTTTGGTGCAGCCCACCGCTCGCTTTGACTGGCGCCTAACTGTCTCGCACACCCTGGGGCCCACGGACTTAAACAGAGTGTGTGTGTGTGTTTGTGTGTGTTTGTGTGTGTGTGCTTGTGTGTGTGCGTGTGTGTGTGTGCGTGTGTGTGTGTGCGTGTGTGTGTGTGTGTTTGTGTGTGTGCTTGTGTGTGTGTATGTGTGTGTGTGTGTGTTTGTGTGTGTGTGCGCGGAGGTATATTTGCGTGAAGTGTTTGTACAGACACGTAGTTGTGTGGATACGCATGTGTATCAGGTAGGTCCTGTGTCTGCCGCGTCGCGAGGTGTTTTTAGGCTGCTTGGGAGCCTTCTTGGGGCCGTTGTTTGGCAGTCGCGCCCCCACTTCGTGCTGCTGTGGGCTCTCTGGGTTGTCCAGGAGCCCATGCATTACGGGGTCGTCCCTACCTCGTGCTATGAATCCGAAGCGTGAGGCATGCACGTCGAAGAAGTCTCGGGCGGGAGCCTCGTGTGCGAGTGGATTGTGAGGACGTGTCTTCAGCGGGAGCCCCTCCATGTAGAGAAGCCATGTCGGAGTATTAGCGAGGGGTCACGGGAACGCTTTCGATGCCGTCACTGTTTTTGCGGCTTCACTCCTGCTGAAGTTTGGATCGGGAGCCTCCCTACAGGAGGAAGAGGAGGCTGATGGAGGAGGAAGCACAAGGAGGATGAATTAGGAAAAGGCAAGAAGGACAAGGAGGACAAGGAGTAGGAGGAGGAGGATACGAAAGCGTCGCGGAGAAGACGGAGGATGAGGATGAGGAGGAGGAGTTGGAGGAGGACCATGACGACTACCAGGAGTTTGGGGAGCCTCAGCGAAGACGTGCTTATGCTGGTCGGGGCGGTGACGGCGTCCAAGAAGAATAATAGACTCGCGCGCCTTGGGAGCAGGAGGAGGGGAGGAGGAGGAGGGGGAGGAGGAGGGGGAGGAGGAAGAAGAGGAGGAGGCAGGAGGAGGAGGAGGAGGAGAAGGAGGAGGAGGAGGCGGAGGAGGAGGAGGAGGAAAAGGGGGAGGAGGAAGAAGAGGAGGAGGCAGGAGGAAGGGGCAGGGAGGATGGGGGGTGATGAGGGGGTAGTTCGGGGGAGGAGACGGAGAAGGAGACAGGAGAAGGGCCTCCACCATCGCAGGGGCGACGGTGTGGATCACCTCCGCGCCATCCCAGGAGATGTCCTATGCGGGGACTTGCCGCCGGAGCATTCTGCCCGAAGCGACGCGAGCAGGCTGGGTGTCGGCCCATCGTTGGGGCGCGCGGCGGCCAAGCTCTCGGCGAGGCGCAGCGGTTGGAGAGCTCATCCCGAGGCAGCCGCCCCAGGCCAACGAACACGCCCAAGAGCCTTCCCATGGCTTGCCCGCTGGCCCAGACATCCTCCGACATGCTGTTTTTTCGACCCGCGGCCCAAGAGGTCCCGACCCTTCCTCCAAGGGCAGTCTTTCTGTGTACCAGATTACATGTTGGGCCGAAGTCGCCGAAGACGCACAGGGAGTGCAGGTCGTCGCAGACTTTCGCTTTAGGGTTTGGACGCGTGGGGGTCTGGGCTTGTGGCTTTGGAGCTTGCGTGGAGACGACGACGTGCTAGACGTGTGCCTCCACACTGAATTTCGAATCCCTGAACTTCGGGTCATAATTCGGCTTCGGCGGACGACCTCGACACCTACATGGCAGGACGTTCTGGGCGCCGGGCGCAGCTGCTGCAAAGCACCCAGAGGCTGGAACACCGTCCAAAACCAACGAAATTGTACAAACGCCTGCCTGCTCTGCGCTCCCAGAAGTGCCCACTGGGCGCCTGCCGGAGAGCCCCAGCGGTCTGGACCCACTCCCCAGGACCACGACGGTCCCGAGGGCGGGTGAGGGCGTTTACAATTATACTGATAATCGGACATGCACTATTTATAATAAAGGATCGGGCGTTTACGATTATACCAATAATACGATACAGTACACAACACACAAAAACAAGATCCACGAAGTATGCACGGGCCGATGATAGCGAAAAATGTCCAGGCGTATTCTTGTTCATGGCCCGATGGGGGTCTGCAGGGCCCTGTGCGCCCCCAGCCCAGACCACTTCGGGTCAGTGAAGGATCTCGTCGTTTTTTTGTTGTTTTTGTTTTTTGTTTTTTGATGTTATGTTTTGCTTGGTTTTTGGATATCGACTGACTTTTTGTTTTTTGTTTTTAGATTTGTTTTTGGATTTTGTTTGTTGTTTTGTTTTTGGATATCGACTGACTTTTTGTGCTTTGTTGTTGGATGTTGTTTTGGGATTTTGTTGTTTTGTTTTGTTGTTGGATCTCGACGGACTTTTCTGTTTTCTGTTTTCGGATTTTCAGCCTGATCCGAAGTGAAAAACCGGTCCCGGGGAACGGGTCGAGACCTCTGCGGGTCGACGCTGTGAGAAACTCATGACGCCGGGGGCGTGGGAGAGGTGCCCGCGGGGCGCCTGCCAGAGAGCCCCCGCGGCGACCCCGGCAGCCCACCGGGACCCTGAAACCCAGACCCCCGACGTCATGATTTTTTCATCACGTCGACCCCCAGAGGTCGGGACCCCATCCCCGGGACCGGTTTGTCGCCCTGAGTCGTTTTTTGACGGTCCCGAGGCCCTTATAAGGGCCCCCAGAGGCCGAACATGGCGACAAACCTCCCGTCGTGATTTTTTCACGACTCGAGGGGGTCTGGAAATCTGACGCCGCGAAAGAACTGTCGCACCGTGGCGGACCACGACGGGTGCCCCAGGCCCCGGCGTCCCGCGCCTGCCGCAGCGAGGTGTGAGGGCCCCAGGTCCCACACACGGTGGTTCGCAGAGGGGGGGTTGTCCCAAGGTGGGGTTAGAGAACGCTACCCAGACCCCCTCGAGTTATGACAAAAATCACGACGGGAGGTTTTTCGCCATTTTCGGCCTCTGGGGGCCCTTACCGGGCCTCGGGACCGTCAGAAAACGACTCAGGACGAAGAACCGGTCCCGGGGAAAGGGTCCAGACCGCTGGGGGTCAACGTCATGAAAAATTCATGACGTCGGGGGTCTGGGTAGTTGCTCACATTTCCTTCTTGCAGGGAAGCCCCCGACGTCATCACTTATTCCCAGACCCCCGACGCAGCGATTTGTCCATGACGTCGACCCTCAGAGGTCTCGACCCACTCCCCTGGACCGGCTTGTCATCCTCGGCCGTCTTTCGACGGCCCCGAGGGCCGGTAAGAGCCTCGCGAGAGGCCGAAAATACAGGAGACATCCCGCCATGATGTCTTCATTGCCCGACGGGGTCTGGGTTCGAGGCCCCGACCCGCTCCCCGGGGCCGGTTATTTCATCCCGAGCGCAGGCGGAGAATCGCCAGAAGCCGCCCGTCCCGATTTCTCCGTGACCCCAGGAGGTCACACCCCAGGAGGAGGCGGAGGAGGAGGAGGAGGAGGAGGAGGAGGAGGAGGAGGAGGAGGAGGAGGGGATGGAGGGGGAGGAGGAGGGAGGAGGACCAGTACGCGTCCTGAAAGAAGTGTCTGCCGTCTTGGCCGAGTCCGCCGTGTTTGTCGTCCTGTACGCGCCCCCGACCACAGCGAGCGAACATGGCCGGTGCGAAAAAGTGGCAGCGCCTGGACCCAGACATCCTCCGATATTTGTGTTTCAATCCCAGACCCCGGACGTCATGATTTTTTCATGGCGCGACCCCCAGAGGTCCCGACCCATTCCCTGGGACCGGTTTTTCGTTCTGAGTCGTTTTCTGACGGTCCCGAGGCCCGGTAAGGGCCTCCGGAGGCTGAAAATAGCGACAATCCTCCCGTCGTGATTTTTTTACAACGCGAGGGGGTCTGGGATCCGCGGCCCCAGAGTTCCCGACCCATTCCCCCGCTCCCTGGACGCACTGGCACGTGTGGGTGCCAGCTCTGTTTTTGACGGCCGGGGCCGCCGAGGGCCCGGGGACGGGCCCCTGAAGCCGAAGGCAAGGATCATCTCAGACATGCCACGTCCTTATGTTTTCAATAATTATGGGGTCCCTGGAAGTCCCGAGCCTTTCCCTGGGACCGGTTTTTCGTCCTGAGTCGTTCTTTCACGGGCCCTATAGGCCGAACGCGGCCAAAGACTTCCCCTCCCGATTTTTCCACGACGCGACCACCTGTGTCTGGGACATCGTCGGAGATCTGGGGATCTCCGGGGAGGGTCCTACCAGGGTACTATTGCGGCCGTACCAAGGTCTCACCAGGGTCCTGCCTAGGGGGTGTACCAGGGCCCTGCCAGGGTCATGCCAGGACTTGACCCTGGTTGGGCCCTGGTATGACCCTGGTTGGCTTCTGGTGGGACCCTGGCACGGCCCTGGTATAGGACCCTTGCAGGGCGCTCCAATCCCAGACCCCCGACGTCATGAATGTTTCATGACGCGACCCCCAGAAGTCTGGACCCCTTCCCCAGGACCGGTTTTTCATTCTGAGTCGTTTTCTGACGGTCCCAAGGCCCGGTGAGGGCCCCCGGAGGCCGATAATCCCAGACCATCCAATCCCCGGAAAAATTCGTCGGTCCCGGAAAAAATGTGGATCCACATTTTTTTTGTGGATCCACACCAGGGAAACACAAAAATGTGGATCCACATTTTTTTTGTGGATTTTTGTTTTTTTCACGATTTTTTCAGGAATTTTTCACGAATCCTGAATTTCACGTTTTGGCGTATTACCACTACTACTACTACTACTACTACTACTACTACTACTACTACTACTACTACTACTACTACTACTACTACTACTACTACTACTACTACTACTACTACTACTACTACTACTACTACTACTACTACTACTACTACTACTACTACTACTACTACTACTACTA